GAACTGTGTGACAGTGAAAATTTTCCTTTTCAAAACCTAGTGTCAGGTGGTGGGGTCAGGGGTGTGGCAGTGCCTGGAACATCTTCATGTGGAGGAAGGAATAGGCTGACAGCTAAGCGAAGGGGCAGTCCTCTTAAGAGACCCCGGGACTCTCAGAAGACCCCCATCAAGGAGCTGGTGGATGTCACTGTGGGTGCTTCCCCTACTTTCACTCCCCAACCATTCATAAAGCTTTGTCCCAAGGCACAGCCTGGGCTCAGCTATGCTTTGAAGAATTACGTTCTCATTCCTACCTTAGGATAGAGGAGCAAAGGGGGAGCTCCTTGGGGTCAGAGGGGTGGCGGCAGGCACAGGAGATAGCTAGAGGAGGGGTGCAGCTGTGCCTGGCAGAGCACTTCCAGCCCAGGTGGTGGAGGCAGAGGCTGGAGTGGAAGAGTTGGGGACCTCTTCCTGAGCACAGCTGGGCTGCCATCTTGGAAAGATGCTCAAGGAACCTCGGGGAGTGGCCGATGAGGGGCCATTCCCTTTCCTGTGCTGGTCCTAAGAGGCTCAAGTCATCATCATTCGTGTATTAAGGAAAACGTGCTCTGAATTTAAACTCACTGGCTGGGGAAACCTGGACCAGGATTTTCCAGAGCCACAGTTCTCAGGCATGTGCATAAGCCACTTCCCCTGCTATTCCCCTGGTGGTCTGGTTACAAATACAGCTGAGAAACCTAAACGTTAACAGGGCCCAGACAGTCGGCGCATCACGAGTGTGTCCCTCAGGATGTCAATTATGGGAAGGATTCTGTTGGTGCCTACACTGCCTGTGTCTGAAAATGCCTTGAGATTTTGTCGACTGTGCCTTTTTTTTTTTTCTGTTTTAACTAAATTCTAGACATTCTGTCATCTTATCCCTACATCATTCCATATGCATTAAAAAGGACATTTTCTTACATAACTAAATGCCATTCTCCCCGCTAAGAAAATTATCAACAATTTCTTGATACCATCTAACAGCCAGCCTATATTCAAATTTCCCCGATTAATGTGACATCTTACCCTGCTCGTCACATGAAGAAGGCTCCTTCTGTTAAAAAAAAAAAAAAAAAAGCTATAAAGTAAGTACTTTTATGTCAGCAGAGGCTTTGATGGCAGAGGGTTTTTTTTTTTCCTACTTGTTAATTCTTCAAGAGAGTTTCCTTTATGCAGAAGCACAGGTTACTAGTCGTAGGTCTCAATTTTTATTTCTACCTCTAATTTGTGTATCCTGAAGGCTTTCATTTCACTCTCTCCAGCTTCCAACATCCATCCTCCTTTGTCCTAATAAGTGTATAAGCTGAGTTATTGATCTGCTAGATTTATGAAGGCTTTTGGAATGTGAAAACTGCTCTAGTGTATTTCCACAGCCCTCCTGCTGCTCTCCCCTGCTGGCTCCCTGCTGGGCGGGGCGGGGCCGCCCCCCCCCCCCCCCCCCCCCCCGCTGAGGACCCCCGCTGAGGACCCCCCGCTGAGGACCCCTGCTGAGGACCCCCGCTGAGGACCCCTGCAGGGTTTGGGGGAGGACGGAGCACCAGGGAACCGGTGGTGCAGGGCTGCGCGGGGGCTGGGAGCCCGACTGGGGAGGAGGGGAGTGGGGAACCTGCCAGAGGCTGAGCCTGAGGAGCACAGAATAGAACCCACCCTACTCTCTCTTTTTTCTTTCTTTCTTTCCTTTTTTTTTTTTTTAATTTGAGAGAGAAAGGGAGCGAGAGAGAGAGGAAAAGAGAGCATGAGTGGGGAGACAGGCAGAGAGAGAGAGGGAGAGAAGCAGATTCCCCACAGAACAGGGAGTCTGATTTGGGACTTGACCCCAGGATCCTGGGATCATGACCTGAGCCAAAAGTAGATGCTTAACCGACTGAGCCACCCAGGCGCCCTGCCTTTTTTTCCTTAAAAAGGAAAGAAAGAGAGAGAGGGAAAACGAGAGAGAGGGAGGAAGAGAGAAAGAAAACACAAAACCAAACAAAAATAACAAATATGTGCTCGCCTTGAAAATGTAAAGAAAGCGCAATGAGTCATGTTTTCTTACTACCCCGATCTAACCATCATTAACTGGTTTGCTCCCCAATGTTTAAAAATGCACATAAATTTTAATAAATTGTGGATTGTACACAACATCCTGTTGTGCAATTTGTTTTTATCTTCCTATTTTATACCATGTGAGGAACATATCCACATGCCATTAAATGTTTCCAAAACAAGGTTTTTAACAATTGCAGAGATTCATAACTTAGGGGTATAATTTACATTTAGATTGCTTATAATTCACCATCATGATAAAAAAAATGCTACCACGAACATTCTTGTACCTAAATCTTTGAACAGATCTCTAACTATTTACGAGAAATTCTGAGAAGTAGAATTACAAAGTGGAGAGAGATCGGGACATGTTCCCAGCTGCAGCCCCCAAAAGTTTGTTCCAATAATACAATAATCAAAAATGTATGAATGAGCCCGTTTTCCCACACCCTTACCAACACTAGTAATATTATGTTTCCCCTTTTAATCTGACAATTTAAATCACGAACATGGCATCACTGTTCCCAGACTGCTTTATTCACATCCCTTTGGGTAGCGGTTCTGGTCTCTCTCCTACTTCTGTTTCACTCCTGGGGGTTTGCTGGGAGTTTTCCTTTAGGAAAAATGTAGAATGTAGAAATGTCTAGGTCTGTGCTCCCGCTCTAGAAAGCAGCTGGGCTATGTGACCAGAGTGCTGAGGGTTGCAAATTATTCTCCTAGATTATCTGCAAGGCTGAGCTAGCACACAAAACAGCCAGACTGCAAAAATACCACCAGTCATTGACTGCCAAGAGTGGTATGTATTTCAACATCTGATATTATATGAGCATATTCATACATGTATTTTTACCTTTTGTTCTAAAACCCAGTTTAATGCATGAGTTTTGGATTCGCTGCCTAATTTGGATCAACTTTCCATACATTACTCCATAGACCCAAGTTTTATTTATTTATTCATTTTATCTATCTATCTATCTTTGAGAGAGAGAGAGAGTGTGTGAGCGCGCAGGGGAGGGGCAGAGAGAGAATCCCAAGCAGACTCCAGACTCAGCAGTGCGGAGCCCCATGTGGGGCTCAATCCCACGACGCTGAGATCATAACCTGAGCCAAAATCAAGAGTTGGACGCTCAACCGTCTGAGCCACCCAGGTGCCCCCCTCCATAGACCCAAGTTTTAAGTGATATTGATCATCAAGTGATTTATGTACCTTGTACAAATGCATGCAAAATATAGTATTGTATGTACAACCATGAACATTTGTCTTGGGAGAGAGTCCAAAGCTTTCATCATGTTCTCAAAGGAGCCTAAGAAAAGGTTTAGAATCTTGATGTGGAGAAAATGCTCAGGGGTTATAAAGGCAACACCTATGGGGCCAGGAGGTAACGTAAATGAGTGCAGTAGATGAGGTATGAGATGATAGGGAGAGGTAGGGGCCGTGTTATCCTCAAATATATTTGCTTCAACTAAACAGAGTAGTCGTCTCTCAGCTCCAGATCACTGTTGGTCTGTGGGGGGGGACATCGGTCCAGTGTTTCCTGATCTTAATTCTTTTCAGAGGAACCCAGAAATCTGGGCGGTTACACGAAATCTTCCAAATTTTAAATGCTTCTGATAATTTAAAGTTGAACAGATAAACAACTCATATGTGGTATAAACCACTGGCCTACTGATTTGGCCCCCCAGGTTGCAGGGCCTAAAAGAAGCCAGGCATTTCAAAACATAATTAAAAACATACATAAAAATAATTAAATGCTCTTTTCAGGCTTGTAATAAGCCAAGGACACCAAGACCATTTAAGGACAAGGCTCCCAGGGGATTCTAGCCTGACTGGAGTTTGGCACTTGGAAAGTTCAATAGCCAAATCTATAGTTCTTCCAGCAATGCAGCTGCTGAGTGAAGCAGATCCTGATACCCACCCTCCTTTCCCTGAGCCAATACCCAGTACTCTACATAGATCAGCCCCAGGTCTTTGTAGTGGCAACGGGGGGAAAAACATTCTAGAAGAGGACATGTCAAGAATCCTCTACTTGCATGATTACAGAAAACCTTGATTTTTTCAAGCTGACAACACTAGCAACTGTCAGGCCACAGTTTAGTTAATGCCAGAATTAAGATAAGTACAAGAAACTACGGAATGCACTGAGCAGCTTACCACACCCAGACAAATAACATTTTTGTAAGCCAAATTAATCTCTACCCCCAGAGGCGAGCTTGCTCTTTAAAGGGACCCTGCAATAGAGTGACCAAGAAGGGAAAAAGCATTTCCAAATCCAACTGTGTCACGAGTTCGGATTTTAAAATACTAGGCTTTTAAAATGTGGTGCAAACCCATCCTTAAACGTTTCCCACAGCGTATGGCTGTGAGTTTTCAGGGCAGGTATGCGGAGGCATGGAAGTGGAGTGAAGAAGGCAGAGTCGAAGGGCAGCCTCATTGCCAGGGGGGCAGCATGGCGGCAGTTGGGAAACAGATGAGTGAGCTACTCAAAACAACATCAAAACTGACACCCACATTTTGCCTGGGGACACTGGCTGACATTTCAGTGATCAAATATGTGGGCTTTTTTTTTTTTTTTTATGTCCTGTGCCCTGGATAGAGTTTTATTTATAATATGTTTGAAAATGGCATCTTCCTCCCAAGATATCACATGGCTGGCCAAATGAAGATTTGAGCAGTGGTGGACAGGGCCTTAGGCAGAGCCATGCCACTTTAATAAAATAGTTCCACTCAAGCAAATATACACTTTCCAAGTAAGGTGTGTGTGTGTGTGTGTGTGTGTGTGTGTGTGTGTGTGTGTGTGTG